TTTTTTGGCTAGTTTTTTGTTATCTTGCTCAGACCAGTCGTTAATGGCTTCGCCGACAAGAAAAACACTGAAAACTGTAGAAACGTCAATATTCCAACTTCCAAGTAAATTTTCCATGGTTTGCAGTCTGATGACTACTATATGCTCATGCACTGCATCCGATTTTAAATAAATATATTTTCAAAATTTTACCAATATTAATATGGGGTAAGTACGTAGTAGTATATGTTCAAAGATAACTCTTAACATTTTAACATTGATCGCTCACACCTTTGACATCTATGATGTTCAAACCCGGACCCTCAAAGAATAATAACATTAAATTTTAGCGTAAACTACCTCTTTGGTCATTAAACTATTGGCTTGTTTTTACTTTGATAATTGAACTAAAGGTTTTGTAAACTAGGTCACAAAACTTTCTATTTAGTTTCAATCAAGCTAACTCAAAAGCCGTACAATGACTCGATACAAATAATTTCTTTTGTAACGAAAAGCATAGTCATCATACTAATCATCTTGTTTTCTTCACAAGTGCAGGTGGATTAGTACAAAAGTCATTTGATTAAGTTAACAGATGTTTGTATTTAATGCATTAACTAATTTTAATGTATTCACAAGTGGAGGAGGGATAGTACAAGCCATTTGATTAGATTAAGTTAATCGATGTTTCTTTGATCAAATACATGGCATTGGTACATGGAGCCATAATGCTTTCCAGGTGTTGAAACCTCCTTTATTGTGCTCTTATTATGTTGGCTTAATATTCTTCTTTGGTGGCGTTTAGTTCGCTGTAATGTTTATGAGGGAATTGGAATTTGTGAAGGAATTAGAATCTGTCATGAATTGGAATCCAATTCCATATTCTGTTTGGTTCGCAGACATGTCAGATGAATTTGATTTCAGTAATATAAAATGACAGAATTACCCTTCTTGTTTTTTTGTTTTATTTTAGTTTGTTTTGCAACTTACATGTAGTAATATATTATAAAAAATTAAAAAATATTAAAATTCTATTTTATTAATTGATTATTCATTTCAATAAATTATAAAAATCATGCTAATAAACATCATAAGTTAAAATCATCGCAATCAAAATATGTTAATAAGTTACCAAAAGATATAGCAATATTTCGATACATTCCAATCGGATTATGTTAATTAGTTACCAAAAAATATACCAAAAACTATTTTTATTCAATATATGAATTAGAAACCCGACACGACACAAAATAAAAAAAAAATATTTTTATTCAATAAAAATATTGACTTAATTGAAAAAATATATATATATATAAGGGTATTATTGTAATTATTCCTAAATATATAAGGTAAAATTATATATTTTTTCGGGTTGGTCTGGTTTTTTTCACCCTAAACCCGAACCGACCCGAATATCACACTTAAAAAAACTCAACCCGACTAGATCCGAATATTACAGTTAAAAAACCCGATCCGACCCGAACAAAATAAAATTTCACCCGACCCGACCCGAATATATGAATTAGAAATTCAACCCGACCCGAAATAATAAAAAATTATTTTTATTCAATAAAAACAATGACTTAATTGAAAAAATATAGAGAGAGGGGTGTTATTGTAATTATTCATAAATATATAAGGTAAAATTATATATATTTTCGGGTTGGGTATTTTTCACCTTAAACCCGAACTCGACCCGACCCGAATATCACACTTAAAAAAACTAACCCGACCTGACCCGAATATATGAATTAGAAACCCGACCCGACCCGAAATAATAAAAAATATTTTTATTCAATATATGAATAAGTTACCAAAAGATTGATGATGGTAGTATGGTCAAATTTCAATTCCCTCCAACAAGGGAATTGAATTTCATCCATTCTTGGATGGAATTCACTTTCCCTCATTTGATGGAAAGTTAAGCCACGAGGGATTCCATTTCCCTTGGAAAACTTGAACCAAACATGAGAAAGTGGTAGGATTAGATTCCAATTCTAAGGGATTCCATCCAACCAAACGCCACCTTAAAGTATGAGAGATTAGGAGTGAAAGAAGACAATTTTGTAAAATGGACCAAAATGTTCTTGCATATTTCCAGCTTTAAAATTTTGATTTTAATGCAAAGTTGTGGTACTAAAATATAATATACGTCGAAACCAGAGCGGCTGCAAGTAGGGTTGTAAAATTGGGTAATCGTTCAGGTTTCAGTCGGATCCTGGCAAGTCGGGTAAAATCGGATACAGGTCAAGTCAGGTAAATTTGACACCAGATCCATATCGGGTTCAGGTCAGGTCAAATCAGTTCGAGTTATTTTTAGGTTGATTTGACACTAGATCCAGATCGGGTTCAGGTCAGGTCATTTTCAGTTCGGATCATTGCCAGTTCAGGTCAAAATAGTTTAGGTCCGAAGCATTTAAAAAGCAGGTTAATTCAGGTTCGGATAGACTTCAGGCGAATCTCGTTTAGATTGGGTCACTTCATTGGCAGATAAAATTCAGGTCGGATCTCTATCAGATACTGATTGAGTTCAAATCGGGTTAATTTTTATTTTTGGATTAATTATTTTCGTCTTTCATGAACGTTGAATTGCAATTTGTAATTGTATATGATTTAGAGTAAATTACTAAGAATATAAATAATCATGGTTCAATTTTATGAAAAATACAAATTTAAGAATTGAATTGAACAAATATGAAATTACAAATAAAAATTTAAATAAATTAAACAATACACATTGATGAGGGATCAAATCGAAATAATTTTAAATTGTGAGGTTGAAATTAATACAAAAAAGTACTAAATTATACCCATTTAAATAGTTATGTGCAAATTAAAAAAATAGAATTAAGTAATAAGTATGGATCAATTTCATATGCAAATAAAATTTGGAGGACTGAATTGAACAAATAAGAAATTAAAAATAAAAATTTAAATAAATTAAACAACACACATTGATGAGGGATTAAATCGAAATAATTTTAAATCGTGATGTTGAAATTAATACAAAAAAATACTAAATTATACACATTTAAAAAGTTATGGGCCAATTTAAAAATAGAAATAAGTATTAAGTATGAGTCAATTTCAGACGCAAATAAAATTTGGAGGACTAATTTGAATAAATATGAAATTACAAATAAAAATTTAAATATATTAAAAACACACATTGATGAGGGATCAAATCGAACTAATTTTAAATTGTGAAGTTGAAATTAATACGAAAAGTACTAAATTATACCCATTTAAAAAGTTATGGGCCAATTTAAAAATATAAATAAGTAATAAGTATGGGTCAATTTCAGGTGCAAATAAATTTTGGAGGACTAAATTGAACAAATATAAAATTACAAATAAAAATTTAAATATATTAAACAACACAAAAGGGTTCAAATCAAAATAATTTTAAATTTTGAGGTTGAAATTAATACAAAAATGTACTAAATTATACTCATATAAAAAGTTATGGGTCAATTAATAAATAGAAATAAGTAATAAGTTGAGAAAAAAATTAAAACAACTAATATATATATATATATATATATATATATATAATATAAACTATATAGTATATGTATTATATATATAAACTATATAGTTTATATATATTATGTATAAAGTATAAACTATATATACCATGTATAAACTATAATACTATATAGTTTATATATGAACTATTGAACTATATATAAACTACATAGTTCATATATATATATAGTATATATGAATTATATATAAACTATACAATTTATATTTATATATTATGTATAATTATAAATAATATATATTGTATAAATTATATAGTTTATTAATATAAATTATACAGTTTATATATATATATAGTATATATGGTTTAGGGTTTAGGATTTATGGCTTAGGTTTAGGGTTTATATTTATATAAACTACATATTATAATTTATATTTATATATTTTATTTTATACTATTTATATAAACTAAAGTTTATATTTATATACTATATATATATGAACTATAGTTTACATATAAACTATATAGTTTATATACTAACTATAGTTTACATATAAACTGTAGTTGATATTTACGTATGAAATATATATATAAACTATATAGTTTACATATGAACTATATATATAGTTTATTAGTGAACTATATACACTATTTATATAGTATATACTATATATATAAACTATAGTTTATATTTATATACTACATACTATAGTTTATAAATTATATATATTATATAGTATAATTTACAGATGAACTATATATAAAAATCCTAAACCCTAAACCTTAAACTATTATATAGTTTATTAGTATATATAAACTATATGATATATATAGACTATATGGTATATATAAACTATACATTATATATAGTTCATTAGTATATATAAACTATATACTATATAGTTCATTAGTATATATAAACTATATATTATATAGTTTATTAGTATATATAACCTATATAGTATATGGTATATACAAACTATATATTATATAGTTCATTAGTATATATAAACTATATAGTATATATAAACTATATATTACTTTATAACCTATTGTATATAATTTATAAACTATAGTTTATATTAATGTTAATTATCTTAACTATAATTTATATTAATATAGTATATAGTTTATAAACTATACAATATAATTTATAACATATAGTTTATATTAATATTAATTTTATAGACTATATTTTATATTAATATTAATTATAAATTATAAACTATATTATATTAATATAAGTTAATATTAATATTAATTATAATATATACTTATTTTAATATTAATTATAAATACCATTTTTTCCCGCCTCCTCCCGCCAAACCCTCCCTCCTTTATTTTCGGTCTCTATTCTTTCCCGCTCAGCATCCAAAAGTTGCCGAACACGGGTCAGTAAGAGATCTGAGTTGCAGGCTCAGTTGAACTCGGTTCTGGAGGATTTAAAGACAATTATTACCCTTCTCTGTTCGTTTGCCACTCGCTGAGTTCGCTAGGTTATTTTAACCCCCTCTCGCCCTATTCTCACTCTCTCTCTCTCCGATTTTCTCTGCTTCCAAACAACGTTTGTTCTCTTTCGTTACTAATAATCTCTTTATTGTTCCCTGTTTTGGCTATTTCTAAAGGAGCGGTGGAGATCCGTTTATCTTTTTAGCTTTCTGGATAAGGTTAGATTCTTCATGTAAATCTTCTCTCTTTGACTCTTTTGGCGGTAAAGTTTCTTCCCTTGAGTTTGATTTGTTTGATTCTTAGTAATAGATATTTGGATCTGGTAGCGATTTTTTTTTTGTTCCAAAGTAGTTTTTGTGAAGAAAATGGTTCCTCAAAAATCGGGGTCAGATTTGACAGGTCTATTCCTGAGGGCAATGACCTTGGTGGTCTTTGTGAAGAAGATCATGGTTTCTTCTGTGCTGGTGGCTTATTCAACCCATCTTTCATTTTAAACACCTTTTCTGATTTTTTGTGGACCTTTTGTCTAATCTTATTAACGTTTGGGTAGTTCTGGAGGTGATGATGTTGACAAGCTGGTCATTAATGAAAATTTTGAGGTTTGTATCACTGGTTAATACGTGAGAGCTATTGTTTTATCATGGTCACAATTATTTTTTCTAAAACTGTCTCATTTTTTAGGTCGCATTGAATGAAATCAAAAGCAGTCCCTTATATTGTTTGTGAAAGACAGAGAAGTCTATAGCTGGAAATACTGATATATATACTGCCTTGAAGAGTAAGCTTGATAATTTGCCAACAAACATTGTAGTAAAGTAATTGGTTCTCATACACAGATGGATAACCACAAGGAAAAAGTAAGCAAGTTACTATATTTTGTTTAGCTCTGCTTTTTTCTTTTGTGCTTTACAAATTACTTTTTAACGGATTGTTGTTGCCAATTGTGTTTCTGCAGTCCCACCCTGGCAGTCTTCTGTTCACAAAGTTTGTTCCAACCAGACTGCTCTGATTGATCTTGCTTTTCCAGTATGTCAAGCACCTGACCCTTTTATTTTGCCTAATTTCTTTTACCTGAAAGATTGAATATATTGACAAAGTGTTCCAACTGTTCAATGACGGTCTAAATTTAACTATATACCTGACTTGTCCTAGTGGTTTTTAACTCTCTGCTTGTGTTAACCTTTAGAAGGATCATGTGTGATCATATGATAATGTGTCAAAGGTTTACACTTGTATTTATACATGTTGAAACGACATCCTTTGTCCCTTGGAATATGGTATTCTCCTATTTTTCCTAGCGTTCTCCTTCCAATAACACACCTGATGTATCGTTACCTGTGCAGGATAATTTTGGTAGACTTCATGAAAGGGGTAAAGAAACAGGTAAAACCATGAAACAAGTAACTCGCATTTTCCCTAACAAAGTGACAATCCAGTTGCCTCAGGTGCATATTTGTGGGTTCCTGCATCAGTTACCCTCATAAGTCATATCTTGTTAGAATAAGTCATTCTTGTTAGAATATTTGTGCTTTACTTTTGGACTGGAAGCAGCAGTTGGAACGGGACATTGAAACTCTTAAAGCACAGGCAAATTTTGTTAGCATTCGATCAGTGAGTAACACTTTAATCCTGCTCTGTTTTTTCTTTTTTCCAGCTGTGTGCTCCCTGTTTCTGCATGATATTAAAAGCTTCTGTCTCAAAGTAAATTGCCTGAATCTGACTTATTTTATTGTCCATGTGTAGGGTAAGTAACCTTATTGAGATGGATGAAAAGTTTATTATAAAAATACACACCTCCTCGTCCACTTCTCCTGAACAGGCAAAAGTTGCCTTCTGTTTCCTTGATATATAGGAATTTCTGAATTGTTAATGTGTTTGTCTTAGTATATTTTGTTTGTATTATATCATTATGTGCCTCTATATCCATGCATGATGGTTAATGTAATTTTGCAAAGTAGTTTAACTTCATATTCTGATCACGAAAATGTTGTTCCTCTTTCACTACAGTGGTGAGGGCCATGTGAGTTGTTTGAACTGAAATAGTGTTGTCGACGGTCTTCGACAGAGATAAGCTTATTGGTTCTATCAGTGTGCACAAGAACATCGGGATTTTGGATTTCGAAGCATCAAATTTATTTTACCATGTGAGTTGTACCAGATTTGCAGGTTATACTATCAAGTCTCTTTTAGTTTATGAATTTTGAACCGGTCTATTCATAATTTGGTATGTTTGCTTTTGGAAATTGATGTTTTTTCAAATGCAGTGAAAAATACAAAAATTTGTTTGTTTTGATATAGAGCCAGGCCTATCTAATCTAGAGTCTATTGTTAATTGATAAAAAGATTTAGGAGTTTATAATCTTATTTTTCATGTCAGGGTGGTTTTGGCCGAGTCTGGAACCATGGTTTATTGGCAAATATCATTGAAGAGGAGGTTTATGTTCTAGTCATTGATGAGGTACACTCTTGGCTCTGTTGGTTTTTCACCTGCATGCTTGGTTGCTTTAATTTGTTCTAAGTTGATTTTTTTCAAAGTCGGAAATGTTTGGCACTGTTGGCCATCGAATTCCCTTTGACTTTACCATTGATTATATGTTTTCTTAATGCAGGATGCTTGTTGAATTGATGCAATAATGCTTGATGAATTGGTACATTGATGCTTGTTGGTTGCTGCTGTCTATTACTCATTGATGCCTTGTAAATTATTGTTGTTGGTGTGACTTAAATCAATTTTTGAACCTTATAAATTCTTATCTAAATAGTTACTCATGTGGAATTATGTTAGTGGTATTTTGATTTTTAAAGCTAGAAAGTTACCTATAATTAAACATGTTGGCAACATTTTGATATAAAGGCTCGATGATGATATTTTTGGTAGTATAGTTAGGCTTTTAGCCTTGTAAAACTTTAGCTATAAGATTTGAGATCATTTATTTAAACATAAATTTATTTTGTTTAGTTGATTTTATTGTAATTTTAGTGTTTTCAAGTACAATAAAATTAATTTCATTTATAAATTTTTTGTTTTAGTATTTGTAATGTTATTCAAGTTTTAAATATTTAATAAGTTCATCATTTCAACTAATGTATTTTTATTTTAAAATTTCAAGTTAAGTTATACTTAAATTATTAATCAATTTTCACATTAAAAGTAAATTAGATTTATGATCAAGTTCAATAATATAATATTTAAATTTAATTTAGTGAACGTAAATGAAATTTATAATATAAGAAATATAAATAATATAAAGAATTGGAATTAATATAAAAATCAAATTTATAATATATAAATTATAATTAATACAAAACTAAATTTCAAAAAGTAATCGTATTAATTTAATTATCATAAGTTTATTATAAATTTAAAATAACATAATTATATTAATTGTAACTTCACTTATAAGTCAAGATACTATCAGATCATTTCAATAACATGTCGGATCATTTACAGGTTGAGTCAATTACATGTCAGGTTCATAACAGGTCAGGTTGAAAACAGGTCGAGTAATACCAGTTATTTACCAGGTCAATCTCGGATTCGGGTTCATATTAGTCGGATGCAGTTCAGGTTCGGGTGTCATATTTTCGGTTCAATTCGGGTTCAGGTCATTCTCAGGTTGGATGCAGGTCGGGTTCAGATCCGTAATTTCCAGGTCCAATTCGGGTTTAGGTCAACACCAGTTCTGACTCGAATCGGTTTCGGATCATCACAGCGCAAGTCAAAAACAGTTTTGATTTCAGTCGATTTCAGTCAGTTTTACAGGTCGGGTCAGCTTTTTACACCCCTAGCTGCAAGGATACAAAACACTAAATGAAGCAATTAACTAGAGTTTCTATGGATATTCTCATATTGCTTTCGTGGTTGAATAATTGTGTCAATTAATTAAGTGAAAGTCTAGGGATTGTCGAGTATTTGATCTTTCTTTGTCAAATGGTTGAGAGTCTTTAAAAGAGATATTACAACTTAGTAGATATTACAAAGTAATATCTGTTTTATATACTCTTAATCATTTGCAATAAACATTCAATAACCCTGCTGCGATTCAGGTGCTCGAACCCGTAACCTTTAGAAACAACAACGATTCCTTAATCATTTAGTTAGGTTGGTTCGTACAAATAAATTATGATATTTGAATTATAATATTTTAAATAAAGTGAATTAAGTCGGAAGAAGCATCCTCATAAATAAATTAAATTAAAAAATATCATTATATTAAATTTGTATAATATTTAATCTACATTAAGTATATATTAACCTACAAATTGAATATTAACGATTATATAAATAATTGTTAAAGAAGGTGTGCCTAACCAAGTATAGATACTATAGGGTAGGTATCCTGTGGAAGAGAGTTGTTTTTATCCCATTCTTCCTCTGGATGAACTATTTAATCATGTTGAAGACCGAATCTGTAAGTCAGATTCTGACACACTTATTTTACCATATTTCAATATGCAGGGATCCAAATTCGTTTTTAAAAAGGTGAATTTTATATTAAAAAGACTAGTTTTGATCAGAATTGATTACAAATGTCAGAAAAATTCTCCATCTCTAGAGAATTCTGACTTGTTCTAGCATGCCACTCAGGAATCAATTGAGCATTATCTTTCTTTTGTAGGCCTTTGCGGTCCTTCAAATGATTTGGCAAATCAAAGGCTTCCTCGTTGCATGCATGAAGGCAAAGAGGGACAGAATCAACATTTAATTCCAATCCAAATACAAAGGCCCGCTTTAGAACTCGGTTCAAGCTTGAGTCGTATGTTAATTAACTTATTTTAATTCGTTAAGAACTAAAATTGAATTTTTAAATTTTGAAAATGACCAAAAATACCGTGTCACTCCTGTATCAGCAGCAAACTCAATTTCAGAGTCGAGGGAGAACGACGAGAGGCAGTCCTAGAGTCAACCACAGACCATCACAAAGAAGGAAGGAAGAAGATCATCGGAGACAGTCCGGTGTGTCCATATTCGTTGACAATATCAGCAAACGGATCCACACGTCAACACTGGAGGAGGCCTTCCGGGAATATGGGTTTGTGGAGGATGTTTTTATAGCATATAAGAACAGGAATAGGCTGGATAGGAAATCCACTTTCGCTTTTGTTAGATTCAACAAACTATCAGAGATTCAGAGGCCAACGAAGCTATCCAGAAGGGAAACGGTAGGAACATGAACGGGTTCATCATTAGGGTATTCATGGCAGAGAAGTTTCTCGATAAACCCAGGACAAACAAGTTTGTAAGAACTAATGTTAATATTAGGAGGAAGCTAGCAAGTTTCAGAGACACTATATCATTTATGGAAGTATTGATGGGAACCAGTAATATTGGAGAGTTTCCGAAGAACGCTCCGAATATTTCGAAAGATTGTAGAAATGAAAGAAGCGAACTAGAAGTTATAGTCAATTTGGTCAACGAATCCATAGTCGTGCAGGGAGAGATAAGATCCCAGAATCAGTCATCAATCAATATTTTCAACAAGGAGTTAGAATGGAGGAGAAACTGCCTGGTAAGAAGAATTCCGACTAGATTAACTCGTGGAAATCAGTTTGGATTAACTCTGTCCCGCCTGAAGTAGCTGCTTTTGTGTGGAAGGCTGTTCTTCAAAGAATTCCGACTAGATTAGAATTATCAAAGCGTGGATTATCGGGTATAGTATCTACCACGTGCATCATGTGCAACATTTTGCCTGAATCGGTAAACCATCTCCTATGTCATTGTGAGTGTGTATGGAGGGTTTGGCAAAGATGGTGTAACCTATGGAAAGTCGTTTTGGTTTTACCTAAGAGAGTTAAAGATCTGCTGGATTGTTGGAACTTGCATCCAGTGCGAAAAGGCTTAAAAAACATCTGGAAAGTGAGCTTCTTTGGAATTTTATGGTCTGTATAGTTGCATAGAAATGAAGCTATCTTTAAAAACATTCCATGCTTGGAGGATCGTTTGTTTGAGGGTGCATTAATGTGGATAGGAATTTGGGTTAATTGTAAATGGCCTCTGTTTTTGCCTTCAGTTCAAGACTTCATCAGGTTCTAAGGGGCGTTCATTGGGTTGCAGCAGATTGCCATGGTGCAAGGTGTTTCCCTCCTTGGGTGGAATCGGTCCGTTTGTATCTGACGAAAAGGTTTTTGGGTTTGCGAAGAGTTCGAGGCGAGCTGGCAGTGAAACTTCAGTTGCTGTTTGGCTTTATGGTGAGAACGTGTTCTTTGTGATTTCGGACAGTTGTGGGGGACTAAGGGCACATGTTTTTCACAGTATCCTCGGAAGTTTGGTGCCCAAATGTTTAATACAAAATTGTCAAGTGATAAGTTGCAGCTTGGCAAAATCATAGGTGATAATTGGTTCCGTGTATAACTTGTTTCCACTTTTTAATAGCGTTTGAGCATGGAGTGTGATGTATGTGTGAAGTTCTTTGTAATTTTAGGATGTGTCATAACTTTGCGTGGGTGCACTATTTTTCTTCCATTTAGGTTTGGTTTAAGGAGATTTTTTAATGAGCATCTGTGTTGTTTTTGTATGTGTGCAATTCAATCTAATTTTAATCGAATTTATCGATTTAAATCATTTACAATCCATCTAATCTCATTTTGAGCCCTCCCTCCTCTTGGTCCCTAACTTTGGCAGAATCAATGCATAAAACCACATTCAAACTTTTGTGATTGCAGTTAATTTTTTTGTTTCCCTAAGCTCTGCAAGCAAATAGTAGTTTATTCACGCAGGTGTTGGAACCCTAGCTTTGACTTGGACTTTGAACTCTCTATAAAAACTATTCCTTGCTTTTTTCCAGATTTCCTCTCTGTCAATCAAGAAAACATACTCGAGTAAAAAGAAGAACCACAAAAAATGCTGCATATTTTAAGGTTTTCTGCAGGCTTAGTAATGGTTCTTGTCTTTGTTGTGCATGTCCTTAACAGCTGCTCAGTTCATGCTCATCAAGGTAAACTCATAGTAAACTAATTTTTTTCATTAAATTTACTTGAAAGAAACCTTCTAATTACTATAATATGTGATTATCCGTTGTTTCAGTTGTCTCTGCAGGTGGCGAAACAGCTGGTGAAGTGACTGTTGTTCAAAAGGTTGGTTTTGGATACATTTGCAAGTAGAAAACTGTTCATATTATTTGAAGTTTTGAAAGCTCATGCAATTACTTGTTTTAGTTTTGCAGGAATTTCTTGGAAGGAAAATTAAAAGAGACCAAGTTGTGGCTTCAAAGAATTCAGGTGCAAACCGGTCTGATGGAAAATGTGAATTTGAAGGAAAAAGAGCTTTAAATGTGAAATATTGGAATGAAAATAGCAGTCATCTTCCAAAGGTTGAAATACCTGGTTTTGTAGCTTTAAGTGCTTATTATGGAGGGCCTAAACTTCACCCTCCAAAGCATAACTGAGACCAAA